GTTTGATTTTCAGCTCGAAACACCGAGCTTCCGTTTCGTCTTCTGTGCCGGATGTTTTTTTATGAAAAGCACAGCCGTTTTGAGTTCTCCAATTCGCATACTTTTTATAACTTTTAATATTCGAAAAATGTAAGATAAACTAGAGAGGTGAATAATTCATGTAAATATGTGCGTATATAAAACAAACGAATTAATCGCACCTATAAGAATGATCAATATTTTTTCTAAACAAAAAAACACAAAAAAAAAGAAGAGAAACATAGGCATTATATCATTTCGTAGAGGGAAAGGAAATTAGAAAGGTCTATTTTGTGAGATATTTTGCTAGGGAAAGGGATTGTAGGCGATAAGAAGAAACTTACTCGTATTCGTTCAATTTTATTATTAGAATATACACAATTATTATACACTTCGATGTGAAACGTCTGAAACACTGATGATGATTTTGCTTATAAATTTTCAAAAAATTATTTCAACACGCCTTAAAGATTTGCGGGGCTATCGCGACCCCTATAATCCAAGGAAACATATCGAAAAAAAGAATAGCGCGAGAGAATAAAAATTTTTTCGAAAAAAAAACGAACGATTCGCCAGAGTTGTTAGTGTGAAGGCTTTCGCAGTTGATGCACGATGCTTACCGTGTAAGCGTACACGTTTACGAGTGTGTTTTGTGTTTAGCAGTAGCGATAGTACACCTCTGCCGGATTATGCATTCATCCTTGCGTTGCTATTACGACTATTTAGATTCTAATTTGCATGCGGTTTTTACGTTTAACGAATGCTACGATATAAGGTCAGTGTACGAACGTATCGTTATGTATTTTGGGGGAAAAATCGATAAAAATGAAAAAAATGGTATAAAGGATATGAATTTATGTACGTTTACTTGCAAGCTGCAGGTTATATTATACGATAATTTAGATTTTTACAGCGGCTTGTAGTTTCGATTTCTAAATTTAATTTCATGGTAAAATTTTATGGTAAAATGAATCATTTAAATATGGTCATTTCGTTGAGGAAGAAACTGCAGGTCATTTTTGCAAGAAAGTTTGATTTGAAATTTCTACTTTCGTGAGTATGATGCCTCGTTGGATTCTTGCGTCTTACTTACAAATTAACCCTCCATGAACCGTTTTTTTGAGTAGTATTATTGATCAGTATATATTTTATTTTTCACAAGCATTCTTTACCTTTCTTGACGGACAACGAGTATTCATTTCTTTTTGGACTTTGGTTCACGGAGGATTGAACTTGATTGTATTGATGAAATTCAATTACAATTCATCGAAGACGCGATCGAATTTAATTATCGAAGTTTTATATTTTATTTTGTGACTTTGGCGCCGTAATTTTGAGTAACTGCATGACACCTTAGGACAGTGAGTGAAAATCAATATTTAAGGTTTTTCTTTTTAAATTTATCCATAGATTTTGCCCACAGGTTTTCTTCGACTGTTAATGTGAGAACTTTGCGTCAATTACAGCGCCGAATTTTATTACCGTAAGGAAAACACGTTCGTTCAAATTACAGAATTTAATATTATCATTTAATTAATGATTTCTTCATTTTTTTACAAGTTTCAGATTTTGCGTTTTTGATAGATTAAAATAAAAATTGCCCATACAGTGATTAAAGAGAGATGAAAATTTCAACATTGAACGAACGCTTTTCCGTATGGTTTCTCTAACTGTTTATTTCTCTTAGAATAAGTAGCATTAATTTTATTTGCTCAGACTTGCGCGCGAGTTTGCCATTCACTCCATTTCAGATGTACCGCTCCATTCGTATGAAATTTTTTCACTCCATTCAATCATCGTTCACGCATCATTGCATCTATCACGTTCTATACTTATATTGAAACAGTACCGATAATATTTTCTACGATTACCAAGTATTCTAGTGTATTTTGGCACTGTGGAGAAATGAATTACAGTTTTGGACAACACCACGACTTTCTTCATTCGCTGTTACAGAAGCCTGCACGATTCATTCATATCCTTCTATTAAGATATTATTTTCATTCTTTGGAATCTTAAATAAATTTCAATTTTCTTTACAGATTTTATTTTACAGTCGTTCGTCTCCAGTTAACATTTATTTCTCTTTTATTCCCTTTCAGATCAATTTCCATCGCATCTTAGATTCTCCATAGTTTCACCTGTGTTCCTGTTTTAATTCCTTTGTAATCCTTATTAATTTTTTCAGGATAAATTTAGCTATAAGTTCGAGCTCCCGGATAATAAATTATTTAATATTTAAGCCATTAGGTTTCGTTAAATTTACGTATTAACATTCGTTGAAATCATTCGGGAAAAAAAGAAGCAAGAGAATCCGCGAAAAGGCAGGTAACTGAAACTTTGTAGCTGGATATATTCGCGGTGCTAAAAGTAACAGAAAGAAAGCGCAATGCTAAGTGTATCCGCAGTAATAATACGCTGGCAATTGATACAGAGGTAGAGGATGATTGCGGTGTAGCTGTGCGGGGTCGATTCTGGCGGCGTTAGTGAAGTCAGTACGAAGGTAGGGATATTAGAGGTTAAAGGGCGCGGCCGCTATGTTATTACGACTCACACCTGTAGCCAAGGTAGGCCAGCACGGCCAAACTTCTCTCCGGGAATCTACTTAATGGTTCCAGGATATCGTAAGTCGAACCTGCAAATAAATTATTACTGCGACTGGCGGTCTTTAATCCGACCTGCATAGATATTGACCTTTAATCATGCGACGAGTAACACGTTGCAATTTCCAAACGGGATTACCTATCTACCTTGCCGGCCATTAAAAACATTCGCGGCATTCTAATAGGTTTTCGCGAAACGAAACGAAAAACGATCTCAGATTTCATCCCGCAACATCGTGTCGAATGGTATCTTCCGCTCTTCTGTGTACTTAATTCATGTTTTAACGGTACACTTGTTATTTCGTAAGAATCTTTTATTGCTTTTATACAGTCGGATCTAGAATTTACTTTAGAGGAACCAATTTTTTTAATAGATATGAATGCAGCGTGTTTACGCGTACAGCCTCATCCAGAGCATTTTATTTGTAATTTAATTCGTAATTTACGAAGAGCAAAGAGGGAGAGAAATAAGACAAGTGATGAGATCGCTGCTTTAACAGCAAGCAAATGAGCGAAGACAAGAAGTATTATTTTTTACGGGGACCACCCCCCAAGCGAGCAAATGGTCTGTGTCGCGCTCCTCTATGACTCCTACGGGGTTTTTCTTCTTCTTCTCTCTATCATGCCCTTCGTTTAAAGGCGAGCAAAGATCTTACCAACCCCTTTCACCCTTGCCAGTCGAAAAGGTTAGGACTGGGCAAGCTGTAAATTACCAAGAGGGCATTTTGATTAAATTTTTTATTGTAACCTGGCCGGTTACAACCGGAGGGAGCTGACACGGAGTGCCGGGTGATTTAACCTTGCCGGCTGGCCTGCGCTTTCATTTTCCATTCGCGTACCTGAATCTCTGATTAGAAGTAATAATTCGCCTGGCACGTACGCTTATCGCGGATACGTAGCCGGAGAATGGTATTAATGGGGCTGAAAAAGGGTGAGAAAGGGGTTGGTATATCCTCTCTCAGGGAGATTCGAAGTTGATGTAATTTGTTTGTTTCGGTTTAATTGGTAAAAAAGTAACTAACAAAATATCGAATCTTTAAATTTATTCTTTATTTTATTTCAATGTGCAAGGTAGAAACGAGTTTGCCCTTAGGTGTACTAGGGTTGATTTTTCACACGAGGTATAGATAAATCATCTTCGAACAAGAAGTCGTCTCCCATATGTTCCGATCCAAGCTGATAACAGAAATTCCTTCGGACATCCCTAGGTCGTTTGCGAAATGTCCACCGTGGGACGATGTCGGCCGCGGGGGGTGAATCGGCTCAACAAGTGTTACGTCGGGACGAGCTTGCGTCTAGGGTTCGGTCGATTCGCGGGGGGTGTCGACGTGCTCTTTCCTTCCTCGCCTCCCGATCGGAGGCGTTTCCTCGCGAGTTTCACGACTTTTCCGCGCGAAAAGCACCTGGAAACTTATTATCCCAATCACTCAAATTACATATAATAAAGTTGGAAATTTTTTAATTCAAATTTTCTATTCCTATACAGAAATGATTAACCAGCCTTCCTACTCCATGAACCACCCTCTGTTCACCCTGATCGAAAATCATCCTCGATCGTTGAAAATCCCGATTGTTTTCGTGAAAATCGAGGACGTCATGGTCGCGTGGTTGCAGGAGGAACGATATCGACGTCGGAGGTGGTGGTGGTTTTCGACGTGGAGGTGGCAGCTGGCGTGGGGAGAGGGGCCGAGAGGCCGCTAGCAGAGCACGAGAGGCAGGGAGCGGGTGGAGGAGGAGGAAGGATGACGGGCGAAGGGCGGCGAAGAGGGAGAGGGTGGAGGCGGTAGGTGTCACGCGGGCGCGAGTAGCCCCGCCTCCGCGAAGTAGCTGGAAGCACGGCGAGTCATTCATGGCCGAGCTAAAGGCTGTGCCAGTCTCCGGGTCCGTCCAGCTGCAGCGGCTCGCGAGAGGAACCTTAGGGAACACCTGTCTTCCCTGCGTAACCGTGAACATTCGGCGAGGAGCGCGCCGGCGACGACGACGTGGATCATCAGGGAGACTCGCGTGTAGAACCGAGTTGCATCCGCGCTGGTTGCTCGCGAGTGGATCGCGAGAGTGCCCGGTGAGCCGTGTTCCGGGGCCGGTGGCAGGCTCTCGGAGAGGCCGCCGGCTCGCGCCGTCCTTGGACCACTGATCGTCATGTGTCATCGACAGTGTGTCAAGTGATGCCGTACACGGTTTCATTCATTTTTGTTCTTGTTATTGTTGTGTAAATGTGGTGAACACGAGCAGGATAAAGAAAAAGAGGAGGAGGAGGAGGATTTTAGTGCGCGTGTCCGTTGGATCATCCCCTCGGTGTAGGAGGAAAAACTGGTGGCTGATTGAAAACAAGAAGAGCGATCAAGGTGTTTCGACGAACGGACAAGATTGACGTTCGTGGTGGAGGGCTGGTGAATGCACCGCGGCGGCGGTGTCGCCGGAAGCGGTGCTGCTGCAGCCGCTGGTATCGCGGGAGGATCGGCCGGAAGTGGCGCGTTACCCTCCACGAGTCACCGCAGCCTCGAGCTGGAACATCCGTCGGCGATGCCCGGTGCACCGGGTTTTCACTGGGGTGCTATGCTCGCTGGTCCCCACGCGGCCGCTGCGGCGAGTACACCCCCGTGCCGGCACATCATGGGACAACGCATCCCGCCATGCCTATGGATCTTCACGTTCAACAAGGATTTTCTTACTACAGGTTAGTCGAACCACTAATACAACATTTTCTTAGGGAAGTTATACATTGAAATCGTACCACCTGTTAGAGAACATCACTAATGACTTTTCTTTTTCTTTTATAAAAATCGTTGGTATTCGGTATTTGGTTCTTTGAACCTCGATGATAACAAAAAAGAATTTTCGCTGAAATTTTAAATATTACATAACTCGTCGGTTTTCGAAGAGGTTTCATTTGACACAAGCAAATACGCACATTGGTCCTTTTACAATTCGTATAGTTCCTCGTTTCCATATCGGATTTGATGCGTGGATAAGTGCATAGGTAGGCAATGTTAGGTCTGGAAATTTACCTTGTAAATATTTCTCTGCTAAACGAATACTCCCATGTTTACCCATTTCGAGCAAACACCTTGCTTAAATACCGGACCCTTTAGTTCCTATTACACCGATGATCAAGTTCGTTGCCGTTTCGCAGTTACATCGCAAATTACCACCTGTCAGCGAGTCGCGTTTTATAATGAGTTAATTACAAAGTAGCTCGTTTTAATCGGATCGATCATTAAATAATAATCAACACGGTTGGAAAATACGAGTCATCTAACAAAAAAAAAAGAAGCGATGCGATGTTTCTCTCGATTTTTCACTCGTTTATTTATGTACAGTGGTGAATTCTTACCGCGTGTCAAATTATGTTAAAGCGACTACGTGTTGAGCATGCTCACTATATTACGGGATACGTTAACACCTTGAATACTTACCGTGCGAGTCATCAATGATCGGTACCACAAATTTAATATAGTAATTGAATAACTGATAAGGAAGAAAATTTCATAATTTTCTTCAGACTTCCAAATTCAATATCTAGCCATCATTTCTGGGACCAATTTACCAAATTTGCTATCCAGCGTTTGAAATCTTGTTTCAATAATAAAAGACTGATATTACGTTAATTTTTTTGTTAAGACAGCAAACGGAAAGTTTAAATTGAAAAATGAATAATTATAATTAGCTTGCCCGGTCAACGAAGGTTCAATTTCGATATCTCCCGAAAGAACCGAGCGAAGCTCACGTGTTCCATGTAATTTACTCGATCAAGGGACATATCATTTCACGTAATAACGCTGCAAGTTCGCGTGGAAAGTTGGTTTACGCAGTGTACACGTTTTATTAAACCCGAAGCAAAATGCTCGCGCATCAAACCGCGTAACCAGCTATTGCTTCTTTAATTATTATATCCGAGCTTCATAAATTATTTAGTTCCGTGTGTTTACCGATCTACCGGAATGTGTTTATCGCACGCACCAACGAGCGTGACGATCCTGAGCTTTTATTTCTTTTCGTATCGTACCGACAAATAGCGGTTGTCACCGAACGAACATTCCACGATGTTGTAATTTACACGTAACCAGTTGTTCGCCGAGATTTCGACGATTCGACGGAAAGGTGGAAAGATGGCGGTTTAGAAAGCTGAAAGCAAAGGTTTGGAAATTTTTCGTCTGCGTTGACTGGTTAGCTGATAACGCAAAGTTGACGGGGACCTCTTATACCGCGAAACCTGTTCAGAGCCTGCACACGCGTGTCCCCTATAATATTTATAAAGCCGACTCCTTTTCAGACCGCGTGTGCGTTAATAAACTTCGAACGGACAAGTTTATCTTGTATCGAAACGATTCGATCGCTTTCAGACGAGGCTGCAATTAATTATGACAAGTTTCAGATGAAACGATCGGAGGTAAAATAAGGGTGATTCGTTCAATTCGCTTAATTGTACATTAATTCGATAAATGACGATCACGGTGCGGTTTATAGTTCCAACTTGATTATTTCCATAAAATTGAATTCAAGACACTGTGAAATAGTTCAAGAAAAAAAAACAGCGAAATTTTTGCCAGGCAATTTCTCATCGATCAGAAGCAACTTTCAATTTTCGGGCCGTAATGCAGGCGTGCAAACTGTTCGGAAGTGTTATCAATTTTCTAGATTACACTGGAAGGGACGCACGCGAACGGTGCTATACCGAGTGAGCAGCTTGCAACGGCAATTACATTTTTCACAGCTTCGTCTGAACTGCACAATGTTTATTTCACGTGTAAGGCGTGTATTCCGTAATTGACGCGGCTCGATATATACGATTCTGCGTAATTGAGAGGAGGATCGATAGGGCTCGACACAAGATCTAATCGAGATAGCCGGTTTCGATACGATAGCAGTTTCCTTTTTTCTTTTTCTTTCTTTCTTTCCTTCTTTCCCTGCTCTTTTCCTTTTACACGGGACGAGGAGGAAGCGTTTCGAAAAGCGGCGAAGTTGTTCTTTGTTAATCGTCGCGCACACTCGTTCATCAGTTGCACCGTGTACTATAATTATTCACACTCCATAATGCAGTACACGGCGATACGTAATCCCGTGGCCGGTCTGAAAAGGAAGTATACGAACGGTTCGTTGTAATTATACACTCGGCTTGGCTTAATCTCCTAGCAAATTGTATTAAGATTTTTACGAATTTTTCAGACGTCTCGTGTCGTAAATCCATTCAGCTGAGCGAATGGGAAACGTGTACCGGCAAATGGGCTTCGGATGTTTTCAATAGTACTGAATTAATCGTTCCCCTGTATCATTTATGCATCGATCGTCTATTATTCTCGCGATTTTTCCGAATCGATTAACCTGTTGCTCGCCTCGTGTATAAATTACACCGAAACAACGTAAACGCGACCCTTTGAACCCAGCTCAATTACGATCCACCCGATCTTTTGTCTTTAATTAGAAAATTTTCGTGAAAGATGTTTCATTCGAAGTACAGATAAATGATATTAAATCCCTTAATTATTGGTCTTTCGAACATTGTTGCAAGATTTCATTAAACGTTCCAATTAGAAGCAACATTCTCACAGTGTACCTTTCGTACAAAATTTTATCTCGTAATTTATCATTGACCATTAATCTTCCTAATGAAAAACAGGAATATTGCTGTTTCTCGAAAGATTTCATCAAACGTTCCCAATAAGAAGTTAAACGCTGTCGCGAACACCCTATAAAATCGTCGGGTACGACATATTAGGGACTGAGATGAAAAACTACCCCGTCATTTGTCCTCGTTCGGCTAGATTCTCGTCGATTAATTAGCATCGGCGTGATAAGCTGACAGAAGGGGATCGCTGGCGACAGCGTTAGCGAGAACAGCAACTGGACAGAAGAAGTGGCAGGCAAGAAACTTATTATAATACGTGCCTCGTCCAGGTTATTAGCATTCCGCTATCAATTATCCAGCAGCCCCACTGTTGAAAATAAATAACTAATGTTCTCTCCTTTTACATCCTCGACTACGTATCTCTTTTCTTCTCGTTGTTGAAATAATCATGCTTTACTCATCATCTAGTTAATTAATCTAAACCTGTCGATTCGTTACATTTCTTCAGAGAAAATATCTAGATCGAAAAATTTTTTATTTATTATAAAATGAAGACACGAGTCTTCAGAGAAGTCGAAGTACGTTTGCTCGCGTCGATGAGTTCGCGACGATGTTTCACGGTTAAATTGAAGTGGTGCTCGAAGTATAATGTCGCAGAAGTTGTCTGGTGAAAAGAAGACCCGTCTTCGGATCGAACAGAGAAGCACAGGGTACGCAGACGATGTTGACCTAGCGGTGAGTCGAGTACCACTTGTTGCCGTGTCGTACCTCGAGTATCTCTGTCAGTACACTTTGAGCCCGTGGTACTCAAGATGGCCTCGAATCTCTATTGACAGATGCAATGCTACGATACTCGCGTTAGACTAAACAGTCTCGAAAATCGTGGCTCTATTTCCTCTTCTTAATTGGATTGTCTCACGATGTCTGTTGAAGCAGACATCGATGCTTTCGATTATCTGTCCGAAGTAATGAAGCGATACTTCGGCTAATCTACCTTCGAATTTCAAAGTGTTTATTTTAAAAAGACACGTTGCTCAATGTTTCTTTGTTTCTTCTGTTCCGAGCAAGTTACGTATACAGGCGACATTTCATTGTCGTAGAAACGTGTACTGCTACTGACTCGACTGGTTACTTTCCACTGAAAACTCGGGTAAACCGGGTTTCTTTGATCTTATCGATAATGATGTTACTCAGAAGCCTAGCCGGATGTCGAAATGTGCCACGGTGTACAGAAGTCGCAGGTTTTAAACAATTTCGATTAAGCAACGAGCGACACGTCCGTGAACTGTGCATCTCGTATTCAGCAAACAGTGACGATGTCTTTATCAATTTTTAGATGGACATTTTAAGATGTTACGCTTTATCGAATGGTGGAGCAAAATTTTGATTAATAATCCTAAGTGAACGCTGTTTATTCTTTCTTTCCTTGATTTTCAAATTGTGATTCATTGTCAGTTTTCACGAAATTTGTCGAAATCCTTGGTGAGGGAGAACCGGTTGCACTCGTGCCGAGAGTGACAAAATGATAAATACGAAAGGCTTAATCAGTTCATAAATCAGTCAAGCAAACGCACCATATTCGACACAGATTTTCGAGCTATTCTAAACAAACCTAATTTTAATAGTAACATATCGTCCATACTGAGAAGCTTACTCAGAAAATAACAGTCATCGATGTACGACGATTAAAAGCATTCGCTTGATCATTTCATTGACTCCAAATTAAGATACGAAATGTAAATCGTAATCTGACGCATATATAATTCGTTCATCTGCATTTGTCGATCGGAGTTAAATTGCATGCCTTCGGATGTGCACGCAACGGATCTGCTGACAGTTCGTCTGGAGATTGACGCAGTGAGCAGAGACGGTAACAGTAAATGCCTGTGTGACGCGAGACGTCATCAGACTTTAAAGTTTCGTGACAGGGAGAAGCGTGATGTCGTTAACGAACGAGTGTCTGGTGAAGCAACGATCGTATCGCAATCTTTAATCGAGCTTCTAATTTCGTTGTGTTTCTGATTGATACCTTCAGATCAATCGAGTGTAAATAAACAGATCATCGAAGTCTCGAAGTATTCAAATCAGCACACGGTTAATTGGACAATTAT